CTACCAAGATTCTAGAGTTGGGACTTTCCCTCTTCCTTCTTTTTTCTTTCTTTCCTCTTTCCTGTTTCCAGTTTTTAAACTTGGGTTTTGTAGCCTTTCTTCCTTCCTCCCTTAGTGAGGACAGTGGCAGAGGAAAACAGCCCAATATATTTTCAAAATCACATGGACCTAGAGAATAAATCCCTTGAGTCAAGCTAAATTATTTTTTGGTTACTGAATTTTTAATACCTTCCATTTCAAATTTAGAGGATTAAATAGAAAATAGTGGCACATTTCTAAAATGTTGCCTAATGTCAATAGGAAGTCAGAAAAACCAGTCAACTGCTTTGTTTTTAACCACATAACCATCAACACACTATTAAAATATGAAGTTCGTTATAGATTTTCACTGGCATTACATTTTGCTTTAGCTATTAGTTATAGACTATTACTAGCAATTTGACAAACACCATATTGAACTAAAATTATTTTTCAACCTATCAGATAATAAGGAAAGATGACATATAACCTCGCTGAACCAGACTAACAATTTTTTTCTCTCAAGTGTAAATCTAAATTGTGATGAAAAAATAATTGTGTGTTAGAGAACTCATAGACAACAGTGTGGTGAATTTGGCGGGGGAGCAGAGGGGTGATGGAGGTGGAAGAAGGCACAGAGGGATAAAGGGTGATGGAAAAATTATATTAAATTAAAATTTAAAAAATAGAAAAAATAATTATGGATCAGACTTCCATTAATACCACCCATCAATTTCCAAAAGTTTGTTGGAAAAGCATTTCACTTACTCCTGTCATATGCTTTCTTGGTTTGATAACTGAGTGATTTTTCCATACCAGAAGAGACATGTTTCAATAACCCAAGTGTTCCTTAGGCGGGTTTAAGTGGGCCAGGCAGGAAGCTCCATGAGGCTGGGCATGTACCCTGGCACCAAGCACGGTGCCGGGGGCACTTGCCTAGTGTCAATAATATAGGGATGCCCACCTAATACCTGCGGAATGAATGGATAGGGAAATCACAAATTTGGTTATTTTTGAAATTAGACTAGAAGCAGTTCTAAAGTATACCTGTTTTTGTTTCAGAAAATCTAGGGGCTTCCTTCAGCCCTCTGCCTCATGTTTCATCATGAGCTATGAATTCTCTCCTTTAACAGAGATGTGTACCGTATGAGCAGAATTCTAAAGTGGCAAACATATGTGCTAAAGATGCATTTATCCTCAGTCATCACCACCTGGTCTGACTCACTGTTGCTTTAAACGAACTACTTGACTATAAATGCATCTCTGTTTTATTTACATAATTTCAGTTATGAAGAGAGAGAGAGAGAGAGAGAGAGAGAGAGAGAGAGAGAGAGAGAGAGAGAGAGAAAACCCCTAATCAAGTAATATATTGGAATGTTGGACAGACGATGTAGTTCTGCCCAGTGACCTGTGCAAACCTGAGCCAAATACATAATAACCTCTCCGATCCTTCACTGATAAATAAATAAATATTTCAGGAGGCTGTTATAAAGAGTAAGAGCAACAAGGAACTGTAAAGTACTCGACACACATACGGCTTTTTGTTTGCTATTCATATTCCAAGAGATAACAGCTGAGTTGTTAACTTTCCTCAGCCTGTGTCTCCATGTGAGACGGTTTTGACAAGAAATTAATGGGAACAGACACTTGGCCCAGATTCTGCTTGTTACTAAACCCAGTCCCATCAGGATAATGCTTAATCTAAATGCTTGTGCCAGAGAGGAGAAATTTCTAGTGAAAATGTTTAGAGACCTATGAGGTCAACTCCAGGGACTCACTCCGTAGGTCACTCTTGTAGTTGTGATCCAACCGAAGACGTTTATATGTGCAACCGTTTCTATCCTTTTATCATTGGTCTCAGTCTTTGATCTAAAATAATCTTGTGGCAATTTGCACTGGCTGTTGAAACAGCCCCAAGAACCAAAGGAACCATTCAGAGTGCATTCAAATGGTCTTTACTCATTGCCATCTGTCCTGGTCACTGATCTCGGGGCCGATGAGTATGTTCTCCCAGCAGCAGGCACCTTCAGCTTCTCAGGGAACCAATCTATGTTTCCCCCCGTTCAGGCAGTGCTTCTCAAACTGGGCATATGATACCTTTTCCAATGGGTACAAAAGAGGTATTTGAAGTTATGAGTACCAATTTTCCTAGTTGATAAATAGTATAAAACATCATTGCTTTAATATCAAAACATAAGCTATGGGGCAAAATGCAGCATTTCCATGAATTTTTAATGTAAAACATAAGACTTTTAAAGAACTCTGTGCTCAGTACATTCCCAGACTGTTCAGGACATTCACGTGCATCCTCTGTGTCGGAGGCAGTTCATGGACAAGGTTTAAGAAGCGCTGCCCAAGTGCATCCTGGGAGCCCTCAGTTCCCGCATCGCCTCCCTGTAAAACACCAAAGTCCAAGTGTTTTCTGAGGAGCATTTTATTATTTTTCATAGCTGAGACCTTTGGCTTGGAAGTGCTTGGAATAGAAGGTTAATCTTTCAAGTGGATGTTCTTGAAAATTCTTTAAAACTTAGAAAATAATTAAAGGGGAAGAGTTTTTATGAAGAAATGCTCCCAGTGGGGATTGGCTAGGATTCCTAATCCAGGCAAGGTCTCTAATATGAAGCATTCTGGGGCGGGGTTCTCAGGAGAAGGCCTAACGGGCAGATGAAGGATGGACATCAGTGAATTGTCAGGGAGATAAGACAAGTCCACTTGTGCAGACAGATACATTTTAAAAAATTGAGATTCAACAATATGGCATTAGAAGATAATTGCTTCATGAGATTTGATATAAAGACAATTATTTGCATAATTTATTTGCTATTCATCTAACAGAAAAACTATAGATAGGGAATTCAAACACTCTAGATTTACAAAAACTGACCAACGTTTAGTTTTAGACACTAAAATAAGTATGAGTAATGGAAATATCAATGATGAAGGACCATAAACTCTTAAAGGTTATGTTCTGAAACAAACATAAAAACCATTAAGAAATTCTAAGAACAGTGCAAAAGAAATGTTTACAATTCTTTTTAGCAGTAGGGCTGCTTGGGTTTCAACTAGGATTGACTTGTTTTATTTTCTGAGACATAATGACCAGATTCTGTTAATAAAGGAAAGTTTTTCCTTAAGTTAGATTCTAAATATTTGGGTTGTCTTTTTCCAGTGGTTTTTACATTTTAAAAATAGAAACCAATTTAGAATATTTTCTTTCTTTAAACAAAAAGTTGTGCTTTAAATTTGGCCCAGAATTTTCCTATTTCCCTGTGTGCACGCGTGCATGCGCGTGCACACACACACACACACTCACACTGACAAAGACATATGCGGCGGCAAAGCTTGGACATTCCTGAGAGACCAATGACCATCTTAATTTGAAGGTTTAAGGAATAATTTTGTCTAGGTTTTTATTGGAGCAAAACTGAGACCAAGGGGAGGTTTTTGAGGCTCATCCAGAATCACACTTCCGGTTGCCCCATATCTGGGCCAGAGCCTTGGTTTTCTGTGAAGCAAACCGATTCAAACGACCTGGGTTCCAGCATGGTCTTTACCAGCAGGGCGACTAAAGCAAGTGCTTAATTCCTCTGGACTGCACTGTTCTCAGTAGAAAATCCTGGAAGTGGTTTCCACCAGGGTAAGCTTGACCATCCCTAAGAGACACTGGAAACACAGTGGTGGGTGTTCCCACTTCCTGCAGCTACTGGAGGGTGCTGCTGGCATCTGTGGCCCTCCCAAAGTGGCAGTGTGCCCTCTCCGCCACTGGGAAATACTGGTGACCCATTACCAGCTCAGGATACTATTTCCTGTAATTAAAAAAAAAAAAAAAAAAAAAAAAAAAAAAAAATATATATATATATATATATATATATATATATATATATATATATATATATATATTGATTTCAGAGAGGAAGGGAGAGGGAGAGAGGGATAGAAACATCAATGATGAGAGAGAATCATTGATTGGCTGCCTCCTGCATGCCTCACAGTGGGGATGGAACCTGCAACCCAGGCATATGCCCTTGGTTGGAACTGAGCCCAGGACCCTTCAGTTCGTAAGCTGACACTCTATCCACTGAGTAAACTGGCTAGGGCTCTGGTAACTTTTTTTTTTTTTTAATCCAATTCTCTGGGGGATGGCATTCTCACTTAAATAGCTCTGTTGTTCGTTAAAAGTCACATTTTGGAATTCCCATTTGGCATATGTGCATTCTATCTTTAGATCTTTAGATAGGAAGGATTATGTTTGGTTCAAGTAGAAAATATAGGCATCTCCAGAGGGCTAACATACAATTAAAACAAAACAACACACCCCAAACTGATGTCCAAATGTGGAGTGCCCTGAAACAAACGTTTAGCTGTATGATATAACCATTTCCTTATTTTCAGGTGTTTTAAAAAAATGCATTTCTGTAATTTTGCTGTGGCATGACATATAATTGATGGCAACATTTCAAGCTTAAATTCCAAGTGTTTTGATATCTGGTCATTAAATCTTGCCTATGTTCATAATAGATAAATAAAACCACAAATGCCATAACGAAGCAGGGGCAAAAAGAAAAAAAAATGCACCCTAGGAATGATATCACAAGGAAATAAAAATACTGTATTCCTCTAAACAGATGTACTTAGAAGAGTTTTATAACCCAAAGCAAGATATGGGAGATGGTTTAAGAAGAGGTTGCAATATTGCAACAAGAAGCCTGTCCGCTTCCCCCCGGGCGGGAGCCTGGAGGAAGGCCCTGTGCTCACAAACTTGTTCTCAGAGGTTCTGGAAGCTTTTGCACCCTGGGCCCCACTATTCACAAAGGTAAGCGTTTTGCAAGCTCAGGGCAGGCCTCACTTCTGGTCCTTAGGTACGCATGCAATGACATTTCATCCTTTCATGTGCAAATTCTAAAATCCACTGTAACAGAAAAGCTGCCAGCTGAGAATCCGTCTACAATTTGAAATGAAAGGATCAAAAATGTCAGACATGGCAGAATACCGGCTCCTCGCGGAGCTCTCTTTATTTGGTCACCGATCCTCAGTCATTTTTGTCTGTTTGTTACAAAAAAGCAGTCTTGGCTCTTTATTTAAACAGTACTTAAACTAAACTGCTCATGCCATGCAAAAATAACATTTTATGCACTTTTTTTGAGGGGGGTCGGGGGAGGAGGCGAGCGTCCCATGTGTTAGTTCACAGGCATTATTAACCGTAATTTTAAGAAACAAGTTTTTTTTTTCTTCTTTTTTTATTGCTTTTGTAACTAGTCACATGCTGGTTTCACGTGTGGGACAGTGACCTGTGTCTCCTGGGTTGGAATGTGTTTCTGGGGCGAACAGGTGGTTTTCCATTTTGCACCCTTCTTGGCTGCTGTCCTTTTTCACGTCAGCCACGGCGTGGTGGTAAACGTCTTGCCTACAGTTGTGACTTGTGTCCTGGGGGGAGGAAGAGCCTGCACAGGCCTCTTCCCTCAGAGGGTCTCTCCCATTGCTAGGCTTCTCGGCGAAGCAGTTAGGGCTGGGGTCGGCCTGCCCGGCCTGCCCGGGCCCTTGCAGCTCTAGGAAGTCATCGTCGTCCCCGGTGTCCACCTCGGTGAAGCTGCTCCTCTCCCTCGATGGGAAAGGGAAGAGTTTCTGCTTGGCAAACCGGGGGCTCGGCCCTCGGGCGGGTCCCTGACAAGGCGCGGACACCTCCGTCCCCAGCAGGGGCCTGTCCGCCTGCGGGGGGTTTTCCTCCAGGAGGATGGTGCTGATGAGCTGCGGGGCAGCGGTGGGAAAGTCGGCCACCGTGACCGGCAGCGGCCTGGCTGTGCTGGGCGGGGTCTGCGGGGCACTGCCTCTGTTCTCCTTGAAATTCACTTTGAACGACCTGGATTTCAGGGGGTGGCTGCCTCTCAGGGAGCTCCGAGGGCTCCCGGGGGCACTGTCAGAGGGCCCAGGGCCGTGGAGCCCGCTTTGGGAACCGCTGGCATCGAGGTGCCCAGTTAGATTGACCGGGACGTATTCTAGGGAGGCACCCCGGGCCGCCGGGCCTCTCTCTCTGGCGAGTGTCAGGAAAGGGGGGCCCCTGGCCCTGTGGGGCTCCTCGGTGCCCGGGAGGAGGTCGGGCGGGAACCTCATCTGCAGGTGGGAAGCGGAGGGCGGGGGCAGGGGCGACCTGTCGGTCTCGGTGAAGTCGGTGGCGCAGCTGGTGAAGCTGTCGATGCTGGAGGTGCTCTTCATGTCCATGACCACCTCGGCGGGCGCCACGGCCAGCTGCTCCTGCGGGCACACCACCTCCTCCATCTCGATCTCCTCCTCGTAGGCTGACGGCCGCTCGGGCTGCTCCTGGCCGTCGGCGTTGGGGTGGCCGTGGGGCTGGGTCTTGGTGATCTCGTTGTACAGCATCTCCAGCTTCTGCGCGCTCAGATGCTGCGGGCTGGAGGCGGAGGTGTTGTTCAGCTGCTCGTGGGAGTCTTTTTGGCTAACCTCCTGGTACTTGTTCTCGTAGGACTTGTTGGAGCTGGTTTCCGACAGAGCCTTCCTGGCCCACTTCCACCGGCTGGGCGACAGGTGATTGTCGTCGGTGGGGTCCTTGGTCTTGGCCGGCTCCCCTGTCTTCTCCACGGCCACATCGATCAGCTCCATGCTTCGAGCGAAGGCATCCTTTAAGTTCATGGAGACGATGCTTCCATTCCTCTTGGCCCGCTCCAGAGCCTCCCTCCGTTTCACTGCCTTCTCCTGGCGTTTCTGCTCCTTGTAAAACTCAGAGAAATTGTTCACGATGATTGGGATGGGAAGGGCAATCACCAGGACCCCAGCGATACAGCAGAGGCCGCCCACGATCTTCCCCAGTAATGTTTTTGGGTAGATGTCACCGTAGCCCACGGTGGTCATGGTGATGGTGGCCCACCAGAAGGATGCCGGGATACTGGTGAACTTGGTTGCGTCCTCATCCTTCTCCGCGAAGAACACCAGGCTGGAGAATATCATGATCCCCATGGCCAGAAACAGTATCAACAAGCCCAACTCATTGTAACTCCGCCTGAGGGTGAAGCCCAGGGACTGCAGGCCCGTCGAGTGCCTGGCGAGCTTCAGGATCCGGAGGATGCGCATGATGCGGAAGATCTGGACCACGCGCCGCACGTTCTGGAACTGCAGCACGCTCTTGTTGGACTCCGTGAGGAAGATGGTGACGTAATAGGGCAAGATGGCCAGCAAGTCGATGACGTTGAGCGGGCCTTTGAAGAACTTCCACTTGTTTGGCGAGGAGAGGAAGCGTAACAGGTACTCCATGGTAAACCAAGCAATGCACACCGCCTCCACGTGTGCCAGCTGGGGGTTGTCACTGGCCTGCCCGAATTCATCGGTCTCCTGGAGCTCTGGGAGGGTGTTGAGAGACAGAGCGATGGTGGAGAGTACGATGAACAGGATGGACACAATGGCCAAGATCTGGAAAAGAGAAGAAAGCCCAAGTGAGCGAACCCTCTTGGTTGCTTAGGCAGCTGGAACACATGGGTTCACCATTCTTTAAAGGACATGGATTGCTCAAAGATATCCCAAGAAGGTAACTCCGCAACCTGAAATTCCAGAACTGATACAAATATAGTCACTTTTTATGAGTTCATTGCACTTAGAAGCCTAATGTAGTATATATATTTAAATTCTAGGGCCTAAGTAATTTTAAAAACATCCATTCTTCCCTTCATTGCCCATTGTTTTTAGGCACATTTGTGGGAATAACCACCCCGTGGAATAGTATTGGGAGAGTAATCATCTCTCCTCTCTTAGTTCTAGGTAATTTTTTTCTCTTAATTCCCTGGTGTTTTCTTAAGCGAATTGCCATATGCTAGAAGGGCTTCATGATTTCTAGAAGTTTTATTCTGCAACTAAAATCACAAATGCAGACATACTCTTGTAGAGATAATATGGCACTGAAGACAAGTGTTTCTCTTACAATGAATCCTACTTATGTGGTTAGCATGGGTGACAGAATTGCATCAGCCTTCGTCCTGGGATGTGTGGGCCTCTGGGCAGCTTCATGTGGGGAAGGAAGATGATGAGCATTCAGTCCAGGAAGGTTTCACAAAAAGGAGCTTGTAGTCTGTTCACGATGATCTGGGTGTAGGGCAGAGGAGTAGCAGCCCGAAGTCAGATTGGGAAGGCTCAATAATACAGAAGACACGGGTCAACTGAGTGGACTTTAGAGTCAGACATCCTGGGCTTGGACACTGTCTTTATCGTTTACTGTGTTACTTAACCTTCCTGGGCAAGTAATTTAACTTCTGTGTGTTTCAGTTTACAAAGCTGTCAAATGAAGCTAACAAGCCCAGTCATTTCGTGGTTGTTGTGAAATTTACATGGCACACAGACATTGCTAAATAAACAAAAGGTCCTTCTGTTACTAGAGACTGAAATGAACAGGACTTTGGCCTTGAAAGATGAAGGCCAAGAACAGGTACGTGGGGGATCTGTAAAACCACGTGAGATAGAGGCAGCCCAAGTGGATTTCCTAACTGGAACCCAGTGTTCCAAGTTGATAAGGCAAAGCATGGAGATAAAGGTTCGAGGGCAGTGGAAGGAGGCACTTACTTGCTTAGGAAAGACTGTGTACCTAGAGCACTCAATTCTTGGAGGAGGAAGGAACTGGAAGCCTCCTTTACCTAAGTAGGTCTGGCCTGGTTTCATCCACCTTTGTCAATGACCTTGGGAGGTGTTACTGGTCTTAGTTATTATTTGTACTTCTGACAGTGACAGCTTAGAGATTCAGCATCTAGCATACATTTCAGAAGACAATGACTAAACATCTTGAGGTCATACAGCTCAGTCAACATCAGGCTGTAAAAAAACTAGTTTATCTCTAACTGACATCAGGACTTCCAAACTTCTTTTCTCTTGTTCTTCTTTCTCCCCATTCTCTTTATTCTTCCAGGCTCTCTACTTCTAGGTCATTCTTCTTATCTTTCCCCCTTATGCCTCTTTATACCTTCCATTGTTTTCTCTTCCAGCTCCTAACTTTCTTCTTGCTATAAGTAAAACTATGACATAATATATTTCAGAATGTGTTGCGGTTGTTACCAGGTGTACAGGTTAATAATGCAGATTTTTTCAATAAATGGAGTGACACATATGTTGATATATAGATGCAATTTGATATGTATGCTATCTTGTTGGATTGACAGCAAGCTTCAAAACTTCATATGTCAAATTTTCTAAAGGTGTTAACATAGATAGTTTTACGCTTAAAAATATTGAATTTTGAGCAAAAAAAAAAAGCATTTGTGGAAAGTTTTAATTCATTACTTTATTTTGAAGGTAAGTGCTGCTGAAAGTTATCATATACTTCGGGAAGCTTACGGTGAACATGCTCCACCTCAAGATACTTGTGAATGCTGGTTAAAAATGCGTTAAAAGTTATGATTTCAAAGATAAAGAACGTCCAGGTCAAATGAAAAAGTTTGAAGACCAACAATTACAAGCCTTATTGGATGAAGATGCATGTCAAACTAAAAAACAACTTGCAGAAAGATTAAATGTTGCTCAGCAAACAATTTCCAATGATTTACAAGCAATGGGAAAGATTTTAAAGAAAGGAAAATGGGTGCCACATCAACTGAACAAAAGACAAATGGAAAACCCAAAAGTCGTCAGTAAAATGTTGCTTCAACAGCACGAAAGAAAGTCTTTTTTGCATTGAATTGTGACTGGTGGTGAAAAGTGGATTTATTTTGAGAATTCCAAATGCACAAAAGCATGGCTTGATCCAGGTCAACCATTAACATCAACTGCAAGGCCAAATCACTTCAGAAAGAAGACAATGCTCTGCATTTGGTAGGATCAGTAAAGTGTGGTGTATTATAAGCTTCTAAAACCAGGTGAAACCATTAATACTGATCGCTACCGACAACAAATAATCAATTTGAACCATGCTTTGAACATAAAACGACTAGAATGGGCCAGAAGACACAGCAAAGTAACTTTGCACCATCACACACTTCAAAACCAGTTAAAGACACGTTAAAAGATCTTGCCTGGGAACTATTAACCCACCCACTGTATTCACCAAACCTTGCTCCTTCAGATGACCACTTGTTCCAATCGATGGCCCACGCACTTTCTGAGCAACACTTCAAAATGTACGAAGAAATGAAAAATTGGGTCTCTGAATGGTTTGCCTCAAAACAAGGAAAGTTCTATTGGGACAATATCTACAAATTACCTGAAAGATGGGGAAATGTGTAGCTAGCGATGGACATTACTTTGAACAAAGCACTTTTGATGTTTCTCTTGAAATTATCGTGTTTTTCTTTGATTACAAAATCTGAATTATTAACTGGTATACCTGGTAATTAAAGATTTATGGTTCCTTAGTTTAAAGAACAACATTTAATTATTAGTTCTTGTATATTTTTTCTCAAATAAAACTAAGTCCTTTTTACTTGAGTGCACTTCAGATTTTCCTTTAAAAATGCAGATCAATGAATTGCAATATAGGTTCTCCTCACCTACTCTAGGAGAGTCTGAAGGCTCAGGTTAGAAACCCCCTCTCAGAGGGTTTATTAAAGGCAAGTTGGGAATGCTCACCTCGAATGTCTACCCTCAGAGACCAAGGGCAAAGTGACATTTGCTATATTTGGTCACTAAAATACTCCTTAGGAAGCACTGGTCAGAGATGCCACCTTAGGTTCTTACCATAAGGAACTATGTCCCTCTGTTCTAGGAAGTCACACTGTTGCTAATATAACTTAATATTGGAATGGCTGCCAGCATAGATTTTCCATATCTTATCTATTCACCTGTTCATTTTGGATGCATTTTACTGATGTTTATCACTTCAAAGAGCAAGGAGAAAACAGAAATATAAATTAAAGCATTCTGTTATCTTCCAACCTTTTGGACAAAGAACAAAGTGGAAGGTCCAAAGAGGACCTTCAAAATTCCTTGACTTCACAATCAGAGTGAGATTGGAGGTCATTTTACTTTGGTAGATAATTTGGGGAAAATATTAAAACATTGTATTACTAATGCAGTCTATGGTCCAGTTGATGGCAACTTAACAAATATGGCTACCTTCAAACTTGAAAATTTAGCATGTGCATAACCTGATTTGGAGTACATTTGTGAGAAAAAATAATTAGAAAAAGAAAAACAACAACAACAGGTTCTCTGCTCCTCCTGTTCATCAGACAGCCTCTCCTGCACAGTGCCAGCCACAACCCTGAGACAAGATGGTGAAGATCGGAGTGAACAAATTTGGCCACATTGAGTGCCTGGTCATTAAGGCTGCTTTTAACTCTAGCAAAGTGGATATTGTTGCCCTCAATGACCCCTTGGTCTACATGTTCTAGTATGAACCCTCTGCAAGTTCAAAGGCTGTACAGTTAAAGCTGAGAATAGGAAGCTTGTCATCAATGGAAAGTCCATCTCCATCTTCCAGGAGTGAGATGCTGCCAACATCAAATGGGGTGATGCTGGTGCTGAGTATATTGTGGAGTCCATCGGTATCTTCACTATCGTGGAGAAGGCTGGGGCTCACTTGAAGGGCAAATCCAAAAGGGTCATCATCTATCACTGCCCCTTCTGCAGATGCCCCCATTTTGTGATGGGTGTGAACTATGACAAGTATGACAACTCCCTCAAGGTTGTCAGCAATGCCAACTGCATCACCAACTGTTTAGCCCCCCTGGCCAAGGTCATCCATGACAACTTTGGCATTGTGGAGGGACTCATCACCACCACCCAGAAGATCGTGGCGTGATGGCTGAGGGGCTGTCCGAAACACCTTCCCTGCTTCTACTGGCGCTGCTAAGGCTATAGGCAAGGTCATCCCTGAGCTGAATGGGACGCTCACTGGCATGGCCTTCTGTGTCCCTACCCCCAATGTGTCAGTTGTGGTTTAATCCGCCACCTGGAGAAAGCTGCCAAATATGATGATATCAAGAAGGTAGTGAAGCAGGCATCAGAGCTCCCCTTTAAGGGCATCCTGGGCTACACTGAAGACTAGGTTGTCTCCTGTGACAACAGGGTGGTGGACTGCATGGTCCACATGGCCTCTAAGGAGTAAGAGCCTCTGGACCACCAGCCCCAGGAAGAGGAAGAGAGGCCCTTAGCTGCTAGGGCCACTGAGAATCTCCTGACCATGATTTCCATCCCAGACTCCCTGAAAAAGGGGAGGAGCTTAGGGAACCTAATCTTGTCATGCACCATCAATGAAGTTCACTGTACCCAGCCAAATAAATAAATAAATAAATAAATAAATAAATAAACAAACAAACATTCAAATCCTCAGCCCCCCCCCCATGTTAAAGAAACCACAAGATATTGACATGCGTTATTCATGTTCAAATTCAATCTGCCAACTGTAAAGAAATGGCTTACTTTTAAATATCATGTGAAACTTGGAGTTCTTCCAGAAAGACAACCCCCTAGGCAGATTTTCAATATATACCGAG